GCAAGGTTCGGTCCTGTGTCTGAGCGAGGAGAGCTTCGTCGGCAACCTGAGGCGCACCCCCCGGACCGTCTCCACTGCCTGTTGACCCATCTTCGCCCTCATCCTCAGAAGTGGCAGTGTCCATCGCTGCAGCGCTCTCCGTAGCTACGCCTCCCACTGCAGCGCCAGCCAAAGACGAACCTTGGGGAACCGCGCCCGGCATTGTGGGAGACAGTTGCGTGTTCGCTTCTTGCGCTTGTTGAGGAGCACCGTGAGGCAAAACCTGGGACCCCTCCCTTATCCTGGCCACGGCGGTATTTATCAATTGCGCCGCTCTGAGAAAAGCATGCATGCGACTCGCCACAAACCACATTCCCGGCTCGATTATTTTGCGCTGGTTTTGAAGCAGATCCGGCCACTCGGTTTGGACATCACGAACCGGCTCGCCGTGCCAGAGGAAACGGCTCGGGTTCTTCACCTCCTTTTCAACATAGGACGCAAGCTTCAGCAGCAGATATTTGAGTACCGCGTAGCGCCCCGCCTCATACTCACGAGGCGTGTACTCCTTGCCGTCGGCCTCACGGATGTAATTCAGACCAGTAGGCAGGGGGGTGTATGCAGCGACGATCCCAAGGCCGTGCGCATTTCCATCGCTTGCTGGGACTCTCGTAACCATGACTTGCTGTTTTGTAGTTTTGATTTGGATTTCCGATTTGCAAGTGTATGCACTTCGGTTCTGATTCTGAAACCGCAAGAGATTTCTTCCATCTCCTTTTTGTCTACTTAACGTTGTGTCCCCACTCGTGCACGCACTGGTCGCGTGGCTCCACGCAGAGAGCAAAGACGAGGTAAAACGAGCTTCTTTTAGCTCTTCGACAGCGAATGATATACATCAATGTAAAGCAAAAGTACAAGTTGTACAACAATTCAACCAAGCCCAAATTATCCTACAGGAATTACGAAGCTGTAGGCAAAACAGGTTTCGTACCTGGGTAGGCATCATGGTAGCCGTCGTCGTGAGGGGGAGGGCCCCGTCAGGACGACGGCGAGCAGGGTCGAAGCCGGAGGTAAAATCGTAGAACCTAGTGGTGCTATTCGCGCGGCAGACATCCCGCACGCCAGGACTATCTAATATATGCGTTTCCAGTGGCTGCAAAGGAGCAATCCTTTTGCAGTAGGGCGAATCTTGCAACTCTTCGTCGGTGCACAGGCTGCCGGAAAAAATGCTTGGGTCTTGCTCTTCGTTGATGCATTGCCCCTCTGGATTCCACCATGTCGCAAGATACTCGCTCTGCGTGAAATTTGTGTTAATTACCCCGATGAAATTGAACTTCAGAAGATCTAACTCGACCATCATAGACGACTGCGGCTGTCCGGGGGATTGGAAATTTCCCAATTGGGGAGTATGAGTGGAAGCTGGTTGGTCGCGTGGTGCGTTAGATCCATTTCCGTGGTTATCTCGAGGTCCCCGGCGGGGTGGTCTAGGTCCGGTACCCCCGAACCCGTCCGATCCGGAAGGCGGGTCCGATGGCGCAATCGAACCTGGTATATTTACATAAAGACAATGGCCAATTTCTGTTTTCCTTTTCGCGGGCTATGCAAGGACGTTTCAGTCCTTGATCTCTCCGTCTTGTATGTATCTGTCTTCAAAGCTCGATGGTCAGCTGTCCGGACTGCCTAGACAGCTTAGCGGACAAAACCCCATGGCCTCGCCATCAACGAATAGAAATGATCAACAGCCCTAGTGTGATTTACAACGACCATGAAGTACCTGTAGCTCCTCCTCCTTCTAAAGCACCACCACCCTCTACTTCAAGCTCCATCCGAAGATAGTGAACCACGCCGTCTCGTGTCTGTGGTCGCTGCGAAATTGACAGTCCCGCCATGGAAGAAGTGCTGCATAGTGCGTAAATAATTTCATTCGGGATGCCCGCCCTGCTCTCCCGCGTTGGACGCTGACGCCTTTCTCGAATTTCTTCCTCCACCGGCGCAGATCTGCGACCTGCGCTTCCGCGGGCCCAGAAGCGCTGCATGCCTGTCGAGTCATTCCATTCGCCTGCCCTGGTAGACTCCATAAACCAAGAAGGGGCATAGCCGAGAGCGCTGCGGGCCGCTTGCTGGACAACAAGACGAAATCCAGTCGCTCGCCCATAGGGAATACTCGGCAAGTTCTTACTCCTCCTGCTCTGCGTATAGCCTTCCAATGCTGCCTGGATCCGCAGCCGCAATTCGGTGTGACCATGGAGGGGATACACAGGAAAAGCGGGCGACACAGTAGTAAAAGATCCATCCGGGAAAGACACGCCGAGTTCAACAAGGAACATATGGGGCTCGATGCCACTAGCTGCAGCATCGTCTGCGATTTTGAATTAGATTTTCTCTTCATTTATCATGAGCACAGGCGGCAAAACTTACTACATACTGATGCAACCAACAAACACAACGGGCTTACGCTGGTGATTTCACTATTCAGGAGTACTGCTCTCAAAAGTAAATCAAGGTCTATTGGATGTTCTTGCAACAGGAAAAAATAACTAATCCAGTACTTATCACTCCATCTGGTATGTCGCATATTGGTGCTGCCTCGTTCATGCGCTCCGTTATGGTTGTCCTACTTAGGTAATCGATAGGTCGCAAACGCCCTTCCATGAGACCTGAACTGCGGCTTCCGCCCTGCCGTTCTTGTTCCTCTCCCGAGCCTTGAACCCCTGAATACATAACGTACAGCAAGCGGCAGTAGCGAATCTGTTTGCTCCGCAGCGAGTTGTCCCTCGGGTTGATGTTCTGCAGTAGGCTTTGTCCCCACTTCTTAGGTCCGAGGCCTGTAATATGGAATTTCGCAACGATAAGGAAAATTACGCTGTTGATCCGCGCACGATAGAAAGATGACGATGAGTGATATATTTCAACGAATTCCCACAAAATCCACGCACACATGCTCCATCTTCATCTTGCAGGCATGATTCGGATCAGCACACCAGTAGTCAGAAGCGTTATTCGGCCTGAAGAGTGCAGCGGATCTGGCTAAAAACATGCACATCTGCTACTGAAACCGAATAAATCAGTTCATTGAGCGTTTTTCATATTCATCCCACGCCGCAAAAAGCCCAAGCCGTCGCGCTCACTGCAGAAAGGCATGCTGGGAGATGTATGCACAGGTCGCAGATATCCTATCGCATCAAGTAAACTAGAATAATCATATATAATTACCCATGCAGGTGGCCGTGAGTACAATCTGCTCGCTTTCGATAAAAATGCTCTGGTTCGGCCCATGATCGAAATCGAAAATTAGTGCACGGCATGTCGCTAGGTCCTCTTTCCATTTTTCGAGGCGCATTTCGCTGTCTGCCGCGCCCGAGCTCCAGATTCTGCCAAAAATCTTTTCGAACACGTCCTCCACCGAAGCACGAGTTTTGAGCAAGGTGAAGTTGACTGGGTGCCCAGCGACATCCCTACCCAAATCCAAATTCGCAAGTTGCGTCCCAAGAACTGTCACCAGGTGGAACATGACATCATCCGCGACGTCTTCCGGTACGGAGCGCGATGTAACCCGAGGCGCTATCAGGAGCCGTCTCTGAAGGCTTACGAGCAAATCCAATCTTTCTTCACACAGTCTCTCTACGCCTGCGCCGCACTTCATTTTTTCCCAGGCTTTGCCTAGCCACGGACGAGCCAATGCATGCCCTCTTGAGGAAGCCGCAGACAGCAGGGATGCCGTGGCTTGCCCTACGAAAGCAAGGAGGAGGCAAAAAAGACGCCTGGCGAGCATCCTTGGTGTTCCGGCACTGAAGGAAATAGTGGAATCTTGCAGCCGCATCTTCAGATGTTTGTCAGTCTTAATCTTGTTCATGTTCGTGTTCTTTGTAGTTGGCTGCGCCAAGATATACTTCGCTTCTGCAAAGCTTGACACGAGATTTGGATTGCCTACCTTAAACTTAATCTTACTTTTCCTGGTATCAAACATGCGTTGTCGTTGAGAATGACGAAAGAGACACGTACTTAACGGCGACACACCCTTTCACACACTCACACGAGCGGCCTTTCACAATTTTTTTGCTATGTTACTTTGTTTTGAATGTCGGGAATAGTTAGTTAGTTAGTATTGCCACAATGAAGGACTAGGACTACCTTTAAAACTACAACTAGCGAGGAAAATAAAGACCAAATACTACGCTTTTGGATATACTATTCGTACTCAGTTCAACGAAGAGCGCAAGCGGTTTCGCCTGACAAAATTTTGCATCCATCATGGAAAAGGAAGTGAAACTAAAAAAAGGCAGGGCGGTTGAGCTCACGGTAGAATAGAAATGCGATCTTGCATCTAGGGAACGAACGAATACCATGATCCACATTTTGCAGTCGTATTATTTGAGTTGATACATATGTACTTTCCTGACCCGTGCTTCTCTGCCACCACTGAGCGACATTGATATCCATTTCAGATCTGTATTTTCCAAAAACCACCACGATCTTATTCATTGCCGTTTTTTGAATGAGCACCACGATCATCGTCAAAGTATTTGCCTCAGCACCACGACTTATTTCATACTCATGCATCCCTCGTAATTTTTCCGAACTCATCTTGGACTTTAGAAAGTCACTTGTCTTTTTTCGAACACTTAGAGGTACAAACTTTTCCACTTGCTGACGTAATCCATCATCATTTGGCGTCACCTGCCAAACACCATAGGTTCCATACCCCAGTCAAAGATTAGAAGACGACGTATCGACTTCTCCGCGGCTGCAGGGTAGTTTCATTATTCACTACATCAGCAAAGTATGGCTCTCGTGCAGCCTCAGAGCCTATCTATCATGCAAAAATTGTACATTAAGGAGTAGGGCGGCAAAAAAAGAAAGCGGCCGAAACTTCCGACGCGAATCACTACGGATCCTTAGCGGTCTTCATCTTCTCTTTCATTACCATGAGCTCACATAATTTTTTCTTCAGATTATTGTAAAGGGAATATCTATGTCAGTTGGACTTGGAGTTTCTGCCACAGTCAAGCTAAAATTGTACAAAATTCACAAAGCGAGCCAGGGACAACTTCTTCTATTCGTCATTCAAGACACGGCTCGACAATAAGTACTTCTATTCTTGTTGGAGCGTAACATCTACGAGCAGTGTATATTTTCGCCACGGCGCTCGCAATTCTTCATGCCCAGCCCTGCGAGCGCCAGCGCGAGCCGTGGCAACACGTATCCTACTGCGACCTGTTAGAAATTATGCCCAGGCATCTACAGAACTTGGACTTTCTTCCGCAATGTCAGCGTTTTTTTCCGATGGACTGGAAGCTACATCTCAACATTAACGCGAGTGGGAATGACAACTGAAAACTCGCCCGGATTTGCGGCCAAAATACGTGGCGGCCTGCGATCGTCCTTACGTCGGGTGTCATAATAGGAAGTGTTCTGTAGCCGTGCGGCATGATGGCTTCGCCAGTCCCATTGGAATTGATCATACGACCAACGCAGGTTGACGCCGTCTGATTCTGTTCTCCACTGTCGCGCATAAGTGCGAAACAGCCTCCGAAAAGACGTATACCAAGCTGCGTCAATGGGGTCTTGTCTGGAATACTCGTCTTCGACGTCTGATACGTTCGCGTCCGGATCCGAATTGAGGCAGTAACCTGAAGTGACCATCAAAATTATTGAATTTATTCTTGAATTCTTGCGTCATGCAGATTTTCATCGTACACTCACCATTCTGCAACGACCAGCATGAAGCTATGTCGCATTTGCAGACGTCGTTCGGCGCGATGAGGGAATCGCTCCTAGGAGTAATCAAAATAAAATGCACTTGGAATGATAAATCACCAGTGAGGCATTTTTCCTAGCTGTTTAGGGTGGGGGATGAAGATAGTGAGCGAGCAAACAAATATATACCATGCTTCACGAAGAAAAAGGGTGTGTCGTAGACAACCGCGTGTCTCTGAAAGAGGAGCTCCGTTGCCATTGCAAGTCGACATCTGCTATCCAAGAGGTCCCGATTGGGATTACTCGCGATTGCCCGCGCAGCCAAAGTTCCATTGAATCCATTGGCCTCCTGCGGGGGATTCCAAATTACAACATGTCTTCCCCTCTCGGACGTACGATCCAACCGTGAAACTTTCGCGTGGAAAAAGTCCAAAACCTCGCGAAAAAAATCCTTGTCACCCGCATGGCAACCCTTTTGAAGGTTCTCCGACGCGTACCTATCCTGCAAGGTCGCGGACCCGTTTTCGCTGGTGCTGTAGGATCTGAGGGGACTACAGGTCTCGGCCGCCATCGACATCAACAACAGTACCTATTCAAATTTTAGATTCGGAGCGTGTGACTTTTTCAAAGGAAGTAAACAGGGTAAATTATGGGCGAGATCTCCAATTCTGCTTCTATCGAGTGGACATAGCGTTGGATTGGTCATGTGCAACAAACAGGTAATTACGCTCCAGTCGGTCTCGCTGGCAATCTGTTTCCTTCTTCTCGGTTCCACACGATTCTGGAACTTCGCCAAGAAATCAGAATGGCCATCGACCTGGGGATTCCAATAGTCCCGCGGCTTTCTGTTTCCAATCCGCTCCCGCACCACCTCAAGAAATAAATCTTCGCAGTTTTCGGTTCGGCTTTCCAGGGAGCGGTCTTGCTCAGCTTGGACGGCAGCAGCAGACGCTACTTTTGTACCAAATTCGTCGGTATTCGAATGCAACTTATTTACCATAAACATTGAAGCCACGTCCTTCGGAGAGAGAAAACTTAGAATTCCGTCACTTTTCCTGTCGTTAAGAACATTACTGCCCGAAAACATCAACCCGTCCTCCGAATTTCTGATGCTATCCAACAAATTCAGCTTCGACTCCGGCCTTGAGGCACGCGGAGCTGCATGTTTGTGTTCTCCTTCTTCTTGGTGTTGCACTGCAGCATCCGTGGGATTAGCGGTAGGAAGTCGATTCTCGCCTGCATTGGCTTGTTCGCCTTTCATGCAGGCCCGCTGCTTATGCTTTCGACGTTTCTTCGTCAGAACTTCACGTAGTGTAGACGCCTTTCCGTCGTGCCTCGACCCATGGCTCTTCGTCCGTGATCGGAAACGCGGCAATATTTCATCATTGCTGCTCCCTGCCGGATTTCGTGTGGACACAGGAGGGTGCGATGTGATACCTGCGGAAGTTTTTGTTCAAGTTCAATAAATTCTTCTTGTCGACGTTGTCCGTCTTCTTTTCCTTAAAACTCACTGACGCAGCCTGTTTCACTATCAATATCACTACAAGCACCGACTTCCATACCTGCATCTCGACTCGCCTGTTCGAGAGAAGTCGTACTCGCGCGGCAGCCAGCTTGGGATGAGTCCGCGTCGCATTTCTCGCCTTGCGGCGCTTCTCGCTTGGACTTTGGAAGCAGATCATCCCCCGAGAGGATGTTCAAATACAGGATTGGCGGCTTCCCTGCCGTGGCATATTCGCGAGCATCGCAATAATAAAGTTGCATCAGCGACGGGAGCAGCAATAAAGCCAATGCCACCATCTTCTCCCACAAAGTGCAACGCGCCACTGGCATGGTCGATTCGTTCACCAAAATCGGAGCTTCGAAAGCAGTACAACCCAAGTGCACGGACTGTTCGTCGCACAACAAGACGTGCCTGGCGGACAGATTGGCTTCGACGAAAACCGGTTATTAAAGCTTCACCTTGCCACTACCGTGACGTGCCGTTGCTGAATGAAATCGCGTAGGAATGCCACCGGAGTAGTCATGAGGCAAAATACATACGGTGGCCATACAGAAAATACACATACTAGGTAGAGATTGTATATCATTCACATCCTACAGCTACAACAATACATGTACAGTCAAGTTCAAGATTTAACAAAAAGTATTTGATTTGCCCGGTCAGAGAGATATAGAGATGTAGGGAGACTATTCTGTTGTTACGTTCGGTTCGGTCTACAGCTATCGTACAGATTTCACACACATAAAGATCGAAGACGTTCTATTATACAAAGGCTGGGCCAACATCAAACTGTGGCTGAAGCTTACCTCATCAAATAGCCTAGTAGAAATTAAAATGCTCTGTCACGTGTCTTAGGATTTCTGTTGATATAATTGACGATGACCTGCTGGAAAAAACGCTCGATCTTCGAGAAAGCGAATCCAGAAGATTCATATATGCAGCCAACGGACTCTATGGTTGAGACAAAAGCAACAATATCTTTAATTTTGTAGTCGGATCTGATATTATTATCATGTATCATTTACGCCGCGGGGGCGACAGAACTATGAAGATCACCTAGCATGATGATAAACAGCGGCTTTCAGATCCCGAAATCTGAGTTGCTCTTAGTTTTAAAAGATCCAATGAATTATCTAAGTACACGCCCGGCCCCGGCTGTTTTTGCCGTTGCCACTCCTACACCAATCATTGGCTTTGGCATTCGTGGTGGCGCTTTCATCTGCTTTCACATCGTTGCGTCCCTAGCATCGGCATCGCGGGCTCGAATGATATTGACGATATTACATTATCCTTATGGTATAGGAAAGCCATGAAGACAAGGGCTACCTCATTGTTCGCCAACATTTTCAGTACTATTATTATTATCGGAAAAGAGTCGATATTACGCAAGGAACGGCGCTAGCACCGGTTGCCCTGGTATAGCCATACTATAACTCGAGAAAATTATAGCCTTGGTCGCTGCAACGAATAAATTGATTATCATGGAGATTCATCATCAGAAGAAGAGGAACCAGGGTCAGATGACTCCTCAATCTCCCTGACGTTAACGTTGATCGGCTCTGTCGGCAATTCTTCAAAAATTTCACGGAGCTCGCTGCTGAGTTCTCTGGGGTGAAAATCATGATAAAGGTCGCGGACGGGGCAGTCGCTTCCCGAAACCGGATCCGGATCCCTACCCGTACCCGCCGAGTGAAAAATCAATCTGTCGAGCCCGTTTCGCGATCCTGGTATTGCGAACCACTGATTTATTAACCACTTCCATCGAAAGTGGCGATAACTCCACTCCGGCCCAATACCATTTGACCGCGCGCGCCAAAAATCTGCACGTCGGTAAAAGTCGAGTTGAAATTTGTGATGCCAGTCCGGCGGTATCGGTGATTCATCCTCGGGTGTGCGAATCCTCTCAGCAAGAACGCGCTCTGGCCAATTTTGCTGAAGCTGCAACTTCGGTCTCGTATTCAGGCAATAACCTGTTCACCATTTATTTTTGAAAATGGGAAGACAGATCGAAAATCACAATCAGAAATTTCTTTACCAAAGGAGCGAAATCACTGTCATGTCTGCGTCCTTGGTCATGGCAGAAAATCTCATTAATCAAGACAAATTTCGTGCGTTGAGGAGAAGGACCAACAAATTGAAAACGTACCGTAGGGAACGCGAAAAAAGATCGCAGAGTAGCAGGAAACCACAGTTGAGGCCTGAAACAGGTACTCCGCAACCATACCAATGCGGCACCGCTGCTGTCGTGACTGCCGGGCTAACGGGTGCTCTATCGCGATGGGCAGATAAGGCGTATGATGCCTGTGTCCAGAGTTGCAGAGAATCACACAAAGATCTCAAGTGCTGGTGCACTTGAATCAATGAACACACATGAATGTTTATGTTGCCAAGAATTTTAGCCTCATGAAGCTACACTTGGGTTCTTTTTGTGTGCGTTGCTACATTTGCGCTTTTACCTCCCCAGGGATTCTCAGTTAGAGTAATGCCGATCACGTTGACGTTCATGCAAAGCTTGTTGTATATTAACTCAAGACTGAACCAGGTCGCCTTCGCCTTGCTTGCGCTTCATACTATCCGATTCGGCACGGTAGGCAGGATTTCTGAAGATGGCTGGATCGTCCCAAACCACCACTTTATCGCCCTGCCGCTGGATTGGCTCGGTAGCAATGCTTCCCAGAGCATTGGCCACAGCTTCTTCAGTGGGACGCGTTCTGAGAGGCTCGTGAAAAAAGTCCCATACCGCAGCAAAGAACCCCTTATCGCCCCGCACGCATCCCGTGCTCAACCGCTCTGAACTATAGTCCTGCATCGCTGGTTTTAGAAGTCTTCCGTACATGATTCGGACAGTCGCGATATCGGCATAGCAGTACGGCATCAGCGCCATAATCGTTAAGATCTGTGTATTCGTACGTAAAGTTGTAAGTCAAGTCGTTTTTCAGACATTGATTCGAGTTTCACTTCATACATGCATACATATGGAAGAGGCTTTGTGTCTTCGTCGTTCACAACTTCATGGTCAGCAGAAAGTACGCAAGACACGATCCTGCGTGTGCACCTTGTAGTAAACAACACTAAACGCGAAGGTAAACTGCTCAGCACGGCAAAAACGCAGCACGTTTGCTTGCCAATACTTAATCTATCGATACTCACAATACCTTCCATGTGTGTCCATCAAGTGCACCCAACGGCGGCAAAATGTTGGCGAGTGTCTCATTAGTCGTCCCCAAAAGATCCTCGCCTATGCGGAGAAACAGTCGTCGCCGCGCCAAAATCATGAAATGGGCTCTTTCTTGGCCTCAGACTCATCTTGCTACAGAACAATTATGAAACCCTGCCGCACGACAATCGAAAAAAGCTCACGTCAGGTTGTTGTGCGACCGCGAATACCCTGCTGTGTTACGAATACAGGCTGAGCATTGGTTCACAATGAAAATGATTTTTAGCTCATCATGCTAAAGTATTATATTGACGCGGATGGGAGTGCGACAAGCGCTCTTCTGTTTCCCTGCGTATGACCTTGATCTACAGTAGCGTTCCAGAAGTCCTTCGGTTTGTATCCCGCCATCGCTCCGTTCTCGACAGTTTGCAGCTTCTCTTCGAGAAATTCCACAAACAGGTCCTCACAGCTCACCGTCTCCGTTTGCCGCTCCTCCAGCGACGCCACCTGTAACTCGGCTAGCCTCGTTGGCGGAGGGCGTATCGCTGGACTTCCACTGACAGTTGCTGCGCCAGGAATAGTGACAATGGAAGAGGATGAAGCGCTAGAGCTGCCTCCACCAGAAGCGGTACTTCCGGGATTTGGAGTGCCGGTCCTCTCAAATGTCGCTTTTGCGCCACTGCCGCCGTCCCGCGCTGCCGCACCTGGCTGCGGTGGGTTTCCGCCGGTCGGGGCTGCAGCACCAGCAGCTCCTCCTGCTGTAACATCGGACGGCACACCTCCTGATCCTGTATCTCCGCGTCTTTCGGGACTCGCTGTGCGAAATGACCTTCGTGAAATCGAACCTGGAGGGCTCAGACTTCGTGAGCGCGGTGTCGCACTTTGTTCCCCTCTGAATACGCTTTCAGACAAGCCAATTTGTGATGCTGAGCCGCTTGCTCCAACACCAGTTCCCTCTTGCGCTGCAGGCACGGCACCATCGCTGCTGCCACCATCCTGGGGCGGACGGGGTGGACTCGTCGTACTGGCACTAGCGGAGGATAAACTACCTTCGGGACCTTGACGTTGTTCCCGCGGGTTTTGATCTCCGTTCACTGTGTCTGAAGCAGGAACCCGAGCAAGCTGATCCACACCGCCGTCATGGCTCAGATTCGACGCTGAAGCGGAAGGACCGGGATCGCTAACACTACTGCCCGTAGTACATCCTGCTGCAGACGGGTCAGCTCCAGCACTTGCCAAACCGATAGTATCTCCAGTGGAGGACGATTGTTCAGAACTACCACCACCTGCCTGCGTTTCAGTTCGCGAAGATAGTTCCCTTTGCTGTTCCTCCAGCTGTGGAGCTGAACTAGCAGCTGCTGGGCTGTTCTCTTGTTGCGCCTGACGAGAAGCTTCATCAGTTTGCGCACCTTCGTGTTCGCTGCCTTCAGGCGTTTGCCGTGCTGACTGGTTTGAGTCGCTGCTTGTTGTTTCGTGCGCTGCGAGGGCACTTGCATCATCTGCCCCGCCACCTTCCACAGGAGATGATGACGCACCAGACGGGGCAGCCGATGCCGGATCAGCTTCAGGTGTTGCTTGACCTGCTTGAGCTTCCGGGTCAGCTACAGTTGTAGGTGATTGAAGATTTGCTGCACTCGGTTCAACAGGAACTGCCGGTTGAGCTGGCACCGTCGCAGCGGGAAGCACTGTTGGTGGGCTGGCGGAGGCAGAAGCTGCAACCTGTGCAGCAGAAGCTGCAACCGGTGTAGCAGAACCGGAAGCAACCGGTGCTGGTTTTGGCGCTGCCGCACCACCCGTCGGCGCTGCAGGTTTTGGTTTTGGTTTCGCCGGCGCTAGAAACTCTGCTCGGGAAACAGGTCCCGGGGGGAAGAGGCTCACCACGCCCGATGAAGAACTCGCAGGAGGAACTGGTTGCTGCAAAGAATTCCCGCCCAGACCATCATTTCCTAGACCTGTTGGTGGACGACCGCTGGAATTCCCTCCAGGTGAAGTGCCACCACCCCCGCCTCCCCCACCCCCACCTCCATCCCCGTTGAAGATTCTCGTCGGGACTAAAATGTTCGGCTTATGCCCGCCGCCGAAGCCGCCAAACGGATACTCATCACCGTCCCCTGAAGATCCCAGCTCTGCTTTCTGTTTGTTCCCCTCGCTCACGTTGCCCATATGGACTGCCAAGCCCGTAGCGCCCGCGAGAAGACAAACAGCGATGATGGTGATGATGATGGTTGAGAGCGATGAGGCCAGGAAAGCGGCGCAAGGAGATAGAGTGGAAGATGTCGATGATGAAGAGGGATCTTCTGTCATGGAATGAAATTTTTCTTCTTGCGACGGTTCCTCATTATCGTCACGTGCAAAACTTGGTGTCGTGTCTCGCTGCCCGGTGTCGAAGATTTGTGTTGCAGAAGTTAGCGATGCTGTTTTGTTGTTTTCCAAAGCAAAATCTTCGGAAGCGGCGCCTTGCACCTGCTGCTGCTGCTGCGACATCATCAATGCCAAACCTTTCTCAGCATTTTCATCCAACTCATGCTCTTCCTCCGAGGACGATGCCAGCTCTGGCTCGTGTTCTGCTGCTACTTCATTTGCGAAATCTCGGATATTTTTGTCGCTTCTCATTTTCTTTTCTTCACCACCTGACTCCAGCACCTCCTTCTCGATTTGGCCCGTAGCGCCGCCGCCATCATCCAGGTTTCCAAGTCCGTCCTGTCGTCGTGCCAATAGCTCTGCTTGCTCCGCACCCGTAGCGCCGAGAGAAGTCGGGTTGCAGGAGTAGTTCATCTCTTGTTTCGCCAGCAACGGCAACGACGTTTGCTCGATAAATTCCTCTTCGTAAATGTCTGACAGCCGATGGCCCTCCCATTTCGTCGTTTTTCCCTTCGTGTCTTCTTCATTGACAAGGTTTTTCGGCATTTTCAGCAGCTTTTGATTCTTTCTCTTGATGGTCGCTTGGCATGGCTGAACATTCGCATCGTACTGCTCATCTCCCATTTCCAAATACTTCAGCACCGTCTGTGCGTCCCACCGCCTTTCCCAACGCCACCGCAGCGTGACCTGTAGCAGAGACACCAGATGGCCGAATAACGCCGCGTCTTGCTGCTCCCACCGCCGAGATTTCGAGTACAAAATCCGGACCCGGGAATCCGCCACGGCGAACTGCGCCCGCATCCCGCACCCCTCTAAATGCTCGTACGGCGCCCGACCGTACAATAACTGGTAGAGGATGATCCCCAAAGCCCAAACGTCAGCGGCTGGCCGCATTTTCAAACTCGCCGATCCCTCATCCGGCTGATAGAACGCCTCAGGTGGCATGTAGCGCGGCGTGCCGCACTGGCGATCGCGGGAGACATGGGTGATTCCCTCGTCTTTATTGATCCCTCTCGCGAGGCCGAAATCAGAGACCTTCACGATGTTGTCCACGATGAGGAAATTCGCGGGTTTGAGATCAAAGTGGATCAACCCGAGACTGTGGATGGCCGCGACGCCCGCGACCATGTCGCGCCAGAGGTTGCGGATGTCGTAAATCGAGAAGATTTCGTAGTTTTTCCGGAGGAAGGAATGAAGGTTGGGTATGGGAGGGGAAAGAAGGTGCTTCAGTTGCTGAACAACCAGTTCTAGTTGTAGTGCAGATGCGGTACAAAAATTGATATATTGAAAATTGCATCCAGTTGCGCCTGCGGGTTCACTCGCATGAGAAATTAGGAGTAAACTTCCCCCACTGCTGCATCTTGTCCATGTTTCATTCCGCATCACAAAAATACATTATGACTCAAACCAACACAAACGCTTCCCTTCCATACCACAGTCCGCGAATTCCAGCAAAATGTGGATCACCAGGTCTTTCGGAAAAAATTTCGCTTCCCCGATCATCTTTACTACCCGCAGCTCGTCCGCGTTGTGGCTGGCATTGCCATTGCCCCCTGCGCTCGCGCGATTTTTGTCCCGTAAAGCCCGGAGCCAGTTTACCTCCATGGCAAACGAACGCATTTGCCTCGCGTCCCGAGCGTAAACGACTTTCAACGCATATCGGGTGGCGGGTAACGGAGAAGATTTCATCTCCCTGTCGCGACCTTTGCTGCTGCTTTGAAAGCGACCACTTCGCGACGCGTCCTCGTAATTGCAGCTATAATTGTTGCCACGACTGCCCGAAGCCGTCGTAGTCGATCCTCCGTCTACCACACAAGTTCGCAAATCCACGCACTCGAACACCTCCGCCGACCCGCCCTTCCCGATCCGCTTCACAACTTCGAGCAATAAAGTCGGCTTGTTGAAGTCCACGTGATGGTTGTCAACCACCTGTTCGCCCATGCAGATGACCATGCCGGGGCCAACGCGGGCGGTGGCGGTCACAGCGATGTTTTTCCGCTGGATGAACGCAGCCGTGGAGAGTAACGAATCATTTTCCTGGTACGAAGTCCGGCAGTCCTCGTCGTTGAAATACTCCGGTAGGTCGCTCGGGGAGTTGAGAAAAGGGGCGTTGTGGCGCCCGTAGACGGGGATCGTGCTGCATGCCGCGGAGGTAGAAACTATAGCATCAGGCGCATGTTGGTTCTGCGCATTTATGTTGTTCGCAGGACTCGCATCGCCAGGAACTTCAGCATAAGAACGGCGATCGGAAACACCGCGGAGGATGCCATCAGGCGCGGGAGAAGTCTCGACCTTTTGATCCGCGCGTCTGGGAGCTGTCGGCGCAGAGTCCTCCGGGGCGACTGGCGCGTTGTTGCGGTTGTCGGCCTTGATGTCGCGGCTGCACCCTCCAGAGCTGGTAGTGTCACGAGGATTTCTGATATGAAAACCGCGACGTCCATAATTCTCCGCTTCAGCTAGAAGCTGAGCCTCTTCCTTCTGGTGAAGCACTGGCTCCACGTTTCGCTGTAACTCGTTCTTACCGTTTGATATGCCAACCACAGCAACCTTTGGCAAATCCGCCTGGTAGACGAAGTCTTGCAGTCCTTGAGGCTGCTGGTCGTTCTGGCCAGCATTTTGGTGTCGCTCCTGCGGTGCGGCGGGCTGTGTGTCACCGTTTTCGCAGTCGGCATTGCTTTCGAAACTGGTTTCTCTGTTTTCCAGCCGCCCTCTGGCTGTGCGGGAATCGTGCCTGTTGTCGCGATAGGCATCAGTGAGGCCCGCATGGTCAACATGTCTGACCCTGGGAGCAGCCACGGAATAAGAGCTCTCGGTCTCCCTGTTCGGATTGTAGGACGAAAATTGGTCATCTCGTGTCGCCGCAGGCCGGATTTGCACTTGGCCGCGGCCAGGGCGCCGCGCAGGAGGAGCTCCACCACCTACATCGCTTCTTAATATCGCTACATCATCTTCAATCGTGCTTGTCGCTGCTGGCCTCCTGGCGTCGTTTTGCTCCTGGTAGTACGAGCTTCCATAATTACCGGCGGAGCACAGAGTGGTGTTCACTGTGCCGTCGTACGACGTCGCGTTATTTCGTTCATGGGCGCGAGGGTCACGTGGCCCGCCAACCACATCTCGTGCCGCTTGCCACTCATAGGCTGCGTTTTCTCGAACACCTTCTCCCGGTGTATGTTGTCCCACGTCGGCTCCCGCATTTGCGGCCGGTGCATGACAAACTTTCGGTTCGAAATCGAATGTGGTCGCAGTATGCAACGCCGACGTTGCTTGCGTGGGAACCGGAGCGACGGGTAAAGGGTAGCTGGGTACGTCATGCTCTTCTTGGACGAAGCGCGCACGGTTATTTTCGAAGCGTCTATTCTTGTTACCCGGCTCTGCTAAGTCGCGGCCGGCATTAGTAGCTCCACATGGAGGCTGTATGCCACCGTGCGGATCTGGATGGTGAGGGTTAAAATTACGTTGGTCAGATGGAATCGCGGGTCGTGGGGGATTGTCGTTGGGCTCGAAATGGTGGTTGCGCCGGTCGCCCATAGGGTACAGCTCCAGGTTGCGCCACAGTCAGAGGGAACAGCAAAAGTCACTGGCTTTTAGGTAAAAATAAAGGGGTGTCGCTCCGTTTGTCGATGTCGATGTTCTGCCGTTACTTATTATACAACTTTTACTCGTCGAAAGCAACAATAGTCACAAACCCTTTTCGGGGCAGATTAGATACTACAACTGCATGCGCAAAAATGCGACCTTCGTTAAGAGAACTGCTCGTCCGGGATGCGTCTTTCAGCCTGTTGTCGTGTTTTTCGGATCTCCACCCGCGACTGCGAAATTGTAAAAACGCCTTCAGATGAGCAACAAGTTTGTGCTCCGCGCGGGTTTAGTGTTGGCCTCTCCTCGAATTGAAGGTAGACACAACTGCTCCATGCGACGTGTCCGTGGGTTCAATTGTACAAATACATTCCTTTCTAAAGATGAAAAGTCGCAGAGCAGTTTTCATCTATGAATTTATTGCGCGCTGAAACTGAAACTGGTGGTGTGGATGCTGAGTGTACAAAATTTTTTGTGCTCCGGCGTCTACTTATCATATTTGGAAAAATGAAACAGTTAAAAGTGAAAGCGGTTTCTTTTCTGTAGATTCTCTCCCCGTAAATCGATAAAGCAATGTCGAGTTGTGACTACAAAAGGGCTTCCAAGTTGTGCTAGTCATCATACACTAAACTCGAGACACGTTGCCGGCTGTCAAAGGCAGTCTCATGGAGGAATTATCTAGGGCTATGTCTACGTACTGAAACAATGGTCGCCAATATACCGCAACCACAACTGCCCGTGCCTGAAGCGATTTTGAAAGTAAAACGATTTGTTTTATATATTAACATTCTGAGACGATGCCACGACGACGAGAGGCGATCCGACAAAACGACTATATACAACGAGAAGATTGATTTTCCATGATTGAAGCGGTTTTAATTTCAGGTCGCGAGAAGAAGCAGATGATTTTCCTAAGCAAGATCAGGTGTTTGGGCGATGAGAAGTGAAAAATGGTTCTCGATTTTGACTTTTGCGAATTAGTGTTCATCGTGAGAGCCTCGGCACAATAGTGCGATTTTTGCATGTCAAGATGTGTATCATATCTTCGACACCATAAACTGCCAGCCGGTGGTGCGCTATGTTGGAAATGGATCACCAGGACCAGACTGACATTGACGTAGTTGATGTTGATCTCATCGCACTTGAACTCTATCGGAGCAGGTAGTATTTTGAGAATAGAACTGTGCAACCCATAATGTCCATCTTCCTCCTACATGCTGAAACGGCGATTTCAAGGGTTCTTTGGGGTGCTCATACATAGAGTGCAGGAACGACCATGATCATGTTGATTCTGCAACCGTAGCCGGAAGCCGTGTTGCTCTTCTTCGAGCGGACGAAGCTGGCGTGGGAGGGAGAAGAAGTAAGTAAGTACGGTAGAGGCGCGTTTATGTCGTGCACAATGGATCGTTATCACTTCTTCGGACCGGCACAACTCCAAGCGCATTTTTATCGAACCGTCGAGAAGTTGTTTCGCATCCTCCTCAAGAAGCAGCCGACTCACAG